ATGCACATTATGTAATCAGTGAATTTAAGTAACTCTTTGTGAAGTGCTGAATTTTATTGTGAAATAGATCTGCTATATTTTATTTATGTATTTGCTGATTCAATTGTATTTAGTTTGAATCCATTAAAAAAACAGTATATTAGTAGAAAAACATGGGTATTGATGGTTGGTTTTATTCTTACAAGACAAAAATATTCATAATGGTTTTTGTTTCTAAGCCATTTCCTATTGAAATTTTTTTCATAGTTATATAAAACACTAAGACATACTTTATGAAAAAAAGGTGCTAACCATTTACCTTGTTCCAAATATTTACAGAAGAATTGCTGAGGTTAAAGAAAAAGAGAGAAGAAAAGCTATAGAAGAAATATTGTACACATTGGTCGTCCAGAAATTTATGGATGCTGATATTTCTTTAATACCTTCCTTAGAGCCACATCCTTCCGGTCAAGTTGATTCATGGTCTAGCGAAGATGGAAAGCTTGAGCAGTTTCACTCACCTGAAGCCTATGAAATGATCCAAAGCCACTTGGCTCTCCTTCTTGGTAATCGATTAGGTGATTCGACATCCGTAGCTCAGATCAGCAAACTCAGGGTAGGACAGGTCTACGCAGCATCAGTAATGTACGGATACTTTCTTAAGCGTGTTGTCCAAAGGTTCCAGCTGGAGAAGACAATAAAAATTCTACCTGATGAAGCAGAAGGGAATACTATTAGCCGATCTGTGGAAGACAAAACAAGAATAGCAGGTTTTGAGGTCCCTTCTCAATTTACGCCCCACCCTGAAGTCCCTGCATGGTCCGACAGTGGAATTGGTTCGGGTGCATTTGGTCAAGAGATAACAGTGTCTAGATTGCGCTCCTATATGATGTCATTCGATATCGAGACATTACAAAGATATGCAACAATTAGATCCAAAGAATCTGTCAACATTATTGAGAACCATACAGAAGCATTGTTTGGAAGACCAGAAATTGCTATAACACCAGAGGGGAAAATCAATTCTTCAAAAGATGAAAAAATCAAAATTAGCATTGGTGGTTTGAAAAGACTTGTTTTAGAAGCTGTTACTTTTGGTACTTTTCTTTGGGATGTTGAAAGCTATGTTGACTCACGGTACCATTTTGTAAAAAGCTGAGTTCTCCAAAGGGAAAAAGTTCTAATTGCTTGGTACTTGAGTACTGACCAATTTTTATTGGCACAATTGAAGTTCAAATGCTGTTCAAAGATTGGTGTTGTATATATTGGATTTGGCTTTCACTGAGAATGAAAAGTTTCTACAAAGTCAGATATTTGCTTGTTTATTTGTTTAGTTTTGTTATCACATCAAATCCTTACGAATAATTACTAGCTTTTCTTAATCTTAATTGCAAAATATTTGATTGCTCTATCTAACTGTCACCATGTATTTTATTGCATTCACTCTTATTATGATTATCAATACTATTTTATTGCATTCACTCTTATTATGATTGTCATTACTATTTTATTGCATTCGCTCTTATTATGTTTATCAATTCAAACAAATACCAACCACTCTGTTGGTAGTTTGTAGGAATATTAGGTGCAAGGGTCTGACTTAGAATCGGTGACATTTCATTTAGGTATGACAATGGAATAGGTGAATTTGTTTCTCCTCTACCATGTTATTACAAATTTTTTTCCATAATGCCAATCATTTTCAATAAATATATCATAATGCCATGTTTTCAAAAAAATTGTGTTTTTGATACAAGGCTGCCGTCCTTTCAATGGGCGGAAAAGTTAAAATATTAAAAGGTGTCGCCCTTTCAATAGGCGGCAGTGTATAAAAATTTGGACATTACCTCCTTTTCAATGGATGGCGGAGTATATTTTTGAAGTGCGCCACCTTTTCAATGGACGTCAGTGCTTACGTATCATTTTTTTATTTGAAATTATGGCAATATGATATATATAGTTGAAATGTGTGGCAAAATAGTATTTAATGTTTAATAATAAGGCAGTTTTAAAAAAAATTCGGAATAGGTTGGGGATTATTTTTACTAATTTCTGTTTCCTGCCCCATCTTCATCGGAAATTTAGAATTAAAATTCAAATGTGTTCTAAACGAATTTGAATTGGATTTAGATATTTGTCCCATGACATTCTATTTAATGTTTTTCTTTAAATAAAATTATTTATATTTTCAAAGTCAAATTATATTACAAATAATAATATAAAATTAATCTAAAAAATTTTATACATATATTTTAAATATTTTAAATGGTAAAAATAAATTAAAATATCAAAACATTAAAATTTATTTAATATTCTAAATTATCAAAATTAAAATAATAAAATATTCTCTCCGTTTTACAATAAGTGATTCAGTTGATTTTTCGCACAAATTAAAAAAAATAAATAAATGAAAGAGAGAGAATAATATTTTTATTAAAGTATTATTACCATGTATTGAGAATGATAAAATTAAAAAATATGTATTAGAAATTGAAATGAGTCATTTACTTTAGAGCACTTTTATTTCAAATAGGTCATTCATTGTAGAAAATAGGGAGTATCACTTCTTTTACTCTCAAAAGTGAGTTAAGAAGTTCAAAGTGAATGCTCATTTTAGAAGAGTCCCAACACTATTTACGTGAATGCCACCTTTTCAAATTGATTTTTTCTTTGCGTTGAAAATTTTGCTAAAGGTCAACAAACTTAAACCATTTGCATCATGCTCCTTCTTTTAAGTTAATTTCAACATACTTCCTTCATCTTATAATGAATGATCTAGTTGACTTTCCACACAGATTAAAAAAAAAAATGAAAAAGAGAATGATATTTTTACTAAAGTATCATTATCATGTATTGTGAATGATAAAAGTAATATTAATTAGAGGATAAAGTTAAAAAATATGCATTGGAAATTGAAACGACTCATTCATCTTAGAGTCACTCTTTTATTGCAAATGAATCACTCATTCTGGAACGGAGGGAGTATATAATAAAATAAACAGGACGAGTTTGGGGTCGACACTAATGTCTCAATGATTGTCAAACTCGCAGGTAGACTCATAAACTCGTAAACTGTATGAAGCATAAATTAGTAGACTCATGCATAGAATCACTTTTTGATAAACTCAACTATAATCGAGTAAACTCGCACAAACTCGTATAGACTTTCGAGTCTATAACGATTCATGAGTATATTTTTGTTGTTTTTTTAAAAACCATAAAAGCCCTAAATTTTCAAAAAGATTTTATTTTATTCTTTTATAATTTTTTTTTTTGTTTGTACAAGAATTAGGAAGTCTCTCCCCCAATCTCTTGTTTCATCAATGTTTTTTTCTCCCTTAATCAACGGTGCAAGTTTATTTTATCGCTTGCTTTGTTCGTGTTTGTGGTCGTAAATCAATCTTTTGTTGTGTAAGTATTTTCTTATATGTTTCATTTGATTGCTACTCATGTATAATATCATGTGTAAAGGTGATGCGCCATTGTCCAATTAAATCCAACGATCCCAATACCATATATCAATTTGCCTGTAACAAAATAGTTTTGAAATTTATGATTTATGAAAAAATATAGTTTAGGAAGGATATGTTACCTGCTAAAGGGTGTGATTTTTATGGAGATATGACTCTAGAGTTAAAAGAGGTTTGCAATTCGTGTTTTAAACTTAACTTGTAGCTCTTTTGATTGTAAATATAATTGAAGTTATGAAGTTCCTGCTAATGAATTATTATTTGTTTGTTTATAAACTTGATTTTAATTTTTTTATAAACATTAAGTTGAAATATTATTTATATTTTTAGGTTGATACAAAGAGAAGAAATATGTTGCATATAAAAAAGGTGAATAATTTGATTTATGTCATGTATGATTTAAAGTTAAAAAGTGAAAAAGAAAAATCAAATAGTATTGTTCTTTCATTTAAAGATAGTCATTCAGATGATAGATGAATAATTGAAGATTCTAATAAAGAAAATTTACAAACTAAAATTAATGTTGAATAAGATAATGTTATTGTTAATAATGTTGTGGAATCTGATGTTGTAACTAATATTGTATAAAGTGGTGGTGATGACAATATTAAATTATGTGATAGTGAAACTTCAAACAATCCAACATTGATTAATGATGAAGAAGATATTTCATCTAAGGCAGAATTTGATGATGATAGTCAAGATACCAATAAAGATGATGGTGATTATATTAGTGGTGGTGATTTTACTAAGCTTTGAATGTTTGAAACTATTAGCATATTTGTTTTATAATTTTTTCCTTTGATATAGTAGCCAATTAAAAGAAAATTAGTAATTCAAATCTTCAACTAGATACTTTACAATTTTATTTGTTTTATTATCGTGTTTTTCTTAAAAGAAATTTGTTATATATAAAATTGAAATATAAAATTTAAATTTAACATTTGTGTTTTATTATATATTTGTGTCATCTCATATACATGTCACTTATAAGTTTTTAAAAGTTATTTTTAATTTTTCATAGACTCGTACGAATTTGCAAATCAAATCTGCGAATAGTTTACAATCTTGAATGTTCCTATTATCTCACACGATGCTATATTTTATAATTGAAAAAAATTCAAACCGGAATCCATACTCATTTAAAACGGAATTTTTCTGACAAATTCAAAATGGATTCGAGTAACTTGTTAAGAGTAAATATTAACCACTAGACTATTTGATTAAAAATAAAATTCACTCACTAATGTGACAAAAACAATCCACAAGACAGATGCAGCAAGTGAGAATAACAAGAAATAACGGCTAACTATGATACAAATTATGTTATAAGGTTTTGAGGAAAACAAAAATATGTCCCAGAAGGGCATTGCTTCAACTATATTGTCTCTTATATACAGCCAATGAAACTCATCACTAAAACGCTTGTTCTTCAACATTTTCTTTGGTAGAAAACTCCACACCATTTCTCATTGCTTTAAGTCATTTCACACTTGTCGTTACTTGAATCAGGTCAGAGTCGGGTCGGATAATGTATTTACAAAACTAACTTCACACTCTACTATTCAACCATTGAATTAGATCTTTAGTGATCTCCTCTCTTTCTGGTTCAAAGAGTAAATCATGTGAGAATCCTTCATACAATTTGATACTTTTGTCACTTGATGAAGCTTGTTCATATAGTTTTTGTGAAGCAGTAGGTTCAGTCACAGAATCACAAGTGCCGTGTAGAACAAGAAATGGAACTATCAATTTTCTTAGGTTTTGTTGCAAGTAACTTGTAATTCGAAGAATCTCGTATCCAGTTCGTATTCTAAGCGATCCAGTGCATACTAACGGGTCTGTATATTTCGCGATAACAGCCTCTGGGTCTCGAGAAACTGGCAAGCCTTTCTTGTATGCAGAATTACATGGAAATCTTGGCAGCAAAAATGATAGTATTGGAGCCAGTAGCTATAATGAACAAAATATAAACATGAATATCAATAATATACATGAATTTAATAAGGACAAACTACTAACTTTTCAGAAAGGGTTGTCTATGAAAGCGTGCAAAACGGACTACTACAGGGCTAAAAATTTGAGTCGTTTAAACCGTGACTAAAAAGACCTCATAAAATATCTCTCATGGTTATACCATAACAAAATCGAGCCCAATTTGATTTATCACACTTAAACCGCGTTTAACCTACGCATGCCTACGAAAACTTAATACGACCCTGCAAACAGAGCCTTAATAAGAAAAATTGGACAGAACTGGCAGATTATGCTTACCTCCAGAATTGGATGAGAAGCTTCAACTCCAACTGCAGGTGATGTGAATGTAGCACCAGCTATGCAAGCTTCAATCTTTGGATCAAGAAGTGCCTACAATATATATAGAAGTGAATATTGAGTGCTCAATCGGTTCTTGAGCTTTTTTGCTTACAAGTTTCAAGAATCTTATATATACCTTGAGAGTAATTGCTGCGCCTGTTGAGTGTGCATAGCAGAAACATGGAAGACCAGGATTTTCAGTTTTAACCTTCTCAATAAATACTTTCTGTTTATAAAAAAGTTTACAATAGTACTTATCAGAAAAATTATAATTCAAAGAGCAACATACCGTACAAACTTAGACATAAATTGCAATCCCTTTTCGGCATTGTTTGAATAAATATCTTAATTAAGCACTTATCTCATGAGTGCTTATGTATAAATTATTTCTCTAGTATAAGATAAAATAAAAGTTAACTGTTCTGTATAAGATATAGCTATTCTCATAAGTTATTCTGAACAGCTTATGAAAATAAGTTAAGACTAGTTTTTAAACATGTCACAAGCTTTTTCCTTGTGGGACATTCTGATAGTTTGACAAATATATACATTAAAAAAGTGACACGCACACAAACATTGAATACTGAGACAGACATTGAACACGATACTAACAATGACACATCAAGTTGGATAATAAATTTTAAAAATTAATTAATTAAATGCAATCACACGTATCAATGTCGTCGTTGAAGACCAAGCGTGAGTGCTTTCGAGGCTTTTATAAACTCTCTCAAGCAGGCTCATAAAACAAGTCAATCGATCCAAATAGGACATTAGTTATATACTATTCAACAAAACTTGGAAATTCATCAACATACCAAATCAGAAACTGCATAATCAAGAGAATGTACATAACCATGCAGTCCATCACTTCCACCATGACCTAAAAGATGAGCGAGTACACATCAGTAAAACAAATTCAGGATTGACCTAATACCAAAAGTGAGAAATCAAAAGTGAATGAAACACACTAAAATACAAGTTTTTAGGAAAACATAAGAAAATGCACAATCGATGTCATGTCCAAATCCTAATCTTGGAGGCATCTAGATAGGTCAACTAGGTCAATTTGATGTTCCTTTAATGCAATAAGAAAAGCATCTACACATGCTTTTATCAAAAGAACACATAAACCTCTAAAGAAACACACAACTTTCAAATCTTAGAAGTGAAAGAACACTTATCTCTGTAAGACTCATGAACTTAATATAGTATTCAATTGCTAATCTAGACTCCATTTGAATCTTAAGCGTATGACTCGGACACAATACACACAGATGATAAGCTTACTTATATACAGGAGCTTCACATGTTTTACTTTATTGCACAAATAGGCATCTTCCTGCAACATCCAAATATAGATGCATGTTGAAGAATGATGGTCACTAAACTAATAAACAAAATGAAGAAATCATTTTTTTCTATAAGTATTCAATGTAGTATCATGTAAGCAAAGGATGACATGAAATTTGGCAAAACAAGTTTTGTTTTCATATTTCCTTACTGTTTGGATAAACTATATAGTAAATGATAAAATAATGTCAATTTTTTTTCCATAAAAACTGTTTTTTATAAGTTATCTTAGAGAAATAAGCTGAAGATAGTTTATAGACATGTCATAAGCTGTTTAACAATCTTACATGCATAGATACAAATAAATAAACTCGATTAAATCAATTCAACCCAACTTTAAAAAGTAGGCATAGTTCCAAGGGAAGTTCCCCTCTAAGGGAAATACTCAATAATATAACATAATACTTCAAATTAAAGGTGTGTCTAATGGTACTAATGTAATTGCATTCAATCACTTCTATTTTTACAATATTTACCTATGTCTACCTATTTATGTCAATGTTGTGTCTATTATCCATGCATGCGTCAAATGTTCATAAAAAGTGTTTATATAGATTTTGAATAAATAATCTAGAAATGAATTATACAAAAGAGATGATACTTTAGATTAAAGAACTACATGTTACACTAACACAATAGTCATGCATTTAGTTACATTCAATCACTTTTATTTTTATTATTTTTATAAATTATACCAGTGTCTACGTGTCAGTGTCAATATTATGTCGGTATGTCTATTATCTATGTGTGCTCAAATTGATGATGTGCTAGTGTTACATAGACATGACACCAACATATGTATTAGTGCTTCATAGAAAATGCTCTTATGGGTTTATGGGTTATATATAAATAATCTAGTATTGAATAATACAAAAACAAGTGAGTTTTGCAAATTTCTATTAATCAAATAGGTACTTCCGTTTAATCTAAGACGGATTTTCAAGAAAATTTCCGGTCAATATCTCAAGGACTTCTTTGGATAGGATAACTTTGATTGGGCCCTAAAAGAGACCAGCCCATATTATTCGGCCCCAAAATAGCATAGGAGACATGGCGAGGAGGTGAGTGCACCCGACCCATACCATTTCACCTATGGGTGTGGGTCGTCCGGCCCAACACTATGTAGGTCCAGCTGAAGGTAATTGCCATAGAAACCGCTCTTTCTATGAAGAAGGGAGGACTAAGTCTCCCTATCCCCACCTTTCAGTCAAACAACCAGGGTTATCACAAGTACATTCTCTATTCTTAATTCAGGAAAAACACAAACCACTTATATAGCGCAATTGGTTAATGCACATGGTTTGTGAACATTGTAAACTCCGGTGTACCAATTTTCATTCCTACTAATAAAAAAAAAATTCAAAAGTACGGTAGAAACCACAGAAACACTGGTCAATGACAGAATCCTATACCCTATAAAATAATGTAAATGTGACACAATCATATGATCATGCAACATATATCAGTAAAATTTATACAATCTTCCTTATGTTAGCACAAGGACAAAGATATGAAAATGTTATATACCCTAATTGAGAAACAAAAAGACCTAATACGAAATTGATGAATCATAAGGTGAAATATCTATTACCATTCCTCAGAGATAATACAAACTCATAAATTATAATTAGGTTCTTACTTACCAATCCAATCCATCCCATAAACTTTATAGCCATTAGCATTCAGCTTCTTTGCAAAATTACTATATCTACTACTGTGTTCATTAAGACCATGCATAAGAATAACAAGTCCCCTGCACAAAGTACTAAAATATTAGCCATTGTGGTTAATTCATGCAACAACCATAATCAGCGTCGCAACAGCTATACCGATCGAAATCTCGAAAGTGGGAAAGCATAAAACCTTGCATTGAACAATAAATATTGAATATTGAAGAATCGAAATCTATAAACATACCTAATTTTAACAGAAACAGAAGTCCAACATTGCGTGAAAATAGTATCACCCCTCTTGGTTCCAAAAAGCCCATACTCCCTCATACATTTCTCATCACCATCCTCCAAAACTCTTTTTATAGCCAATTCCCTTCTCATCAAATAATCAAACACCTTAACTGCAGCCACACCACCACCACCACCACTCTTCCACGGCACAATCTTGGCCGGAACACGAACCACCGCGCCTTTCCGGTGATGATGACAACAATCATGATTCTGATTCTTCTCCTCTTTATCAACAGGTGATACCCTTCTTCTTCCTCTAAATGGTAAAATAAGTAGCATTACAACAGCCGATACCAACATGAAAAAACTCTTCAACGCTCTTATCGATAACAAGGCGCTTCCTTTCAACACAAACGCTTCGGTAGCCATTTTTTTCGTACGGATTCAATCACCCTTTTGGTTTTTTTCTTCTTCGAAAACTTCAAAAAATGAAGGAAGAAAGAAAATAAATGTTTGTTTTAGTTGGTTTGTTATGATGGTAAAATTAGTTTGAAGGAGGAGGGCGTGTTTACCAAATATAGAAGAAGCTAAAACTAGATAAGAAAGCTGGTTGAATGTGAAGAAGAATTGAAAATGGAAGAGAATCAATGTGTTCTTGAAGGTGGTGTTGTTAGTTGTTAATGTAGAATGATATTTTGATGAAAATGATGATGGTGTTGTTGTTTTTGTTGAATGATGATGATGGTGATGATTGGTTAGAGGGAGTGGTGATGGCACATGGGTTAATGTGAGAGAAAACGTTGGAACGAAGGAGTTATATAAGGATGACACGTAGAGTTCCAGAACATAATTTAAAGGTGAGAAGGTTCAGATTGATATGAGCCATTGAAATAGAAAGTGTAATCTAGAAATGTCCATGAATTATGAGGAGAATCGGTTATCAATTTTGTTTGGATTTGTCTTTGTCTTTCTCATGACACACTTTTTCTTGTTCAAGGAATTTCACATGCACTTTATATAGGGATATTGGGGATGTCGGTTTAGATAGATTTTATTTGCAGTTGGATCTAAATTATTTTTGAATATTTAAATTATAAATTAGATTTTTTATTAATATATTATAAAATATTAATAAAAAATTATATAAAAAATATTTTAAAGTTGAATTGGATCCAAGGAAATTTTTACAAAATTATTAAATATGGATCGACAACTTTTATTAATATTAGATTATATTTTAACACTTTTAATTGAATAATTAATATATCTAAATTATATATAAATTATATACATTGAATAATCAATGCATCTGAATTATATATAAATTAAAAATATTTATTATTTATATATTAAAAAAATATTTTTTATAATAAATATTAGAGAGATAAGGTATTTTCTTTCACATTTTATATGTAGAAGAAAAGTAATAATTTCTTTTTATTTTTCAAACAATGATTATCTTTTTAATTATAATATTTGACTATTTATTAATTAATTTAACTTTTTTTATAATAAATAATTAGAAATAAATTTAACAAAGTACAATCAGTACTACTTTAAATTTTAAAAATAAAAGTTATATCAAAATTAAAAAAGTAAAACATACTCTAAAAGTACATTAAGAATAATTATACATTCCTTCAAATTTTTATATATATTTCTTTAAAATGTAGAGTTTTTATAGTAAAAATGTAGTTTTGTGGATTTCTTTAAGTCGATGAAATATTTAGTTAAAATTAATTTTAAAATATTAAGTGTTGATGGATTTTCATCTCATTATTTAGAGAATGTGAGCGAGCCATCAATTTATTTAACATTCACGATATCGTTATATAAATTTTAATATAGTTTTGATCTGACCTGATCAGAAGGGGATCACGGGCTGGCCACACTCTGTTGGACTGCTGCTTGCTCGCCGGTGATGAGGAAGAGAAGGGGGGTGTACCTGCAAAACACTCTGATGCCAAAGTGTGTTACCTGACCCTCTTGAGGAAGAGGGTATTTATAGAGAGACCCCAGCGCTGGGCCAACGATCATTTGAGATGGGCTGGATGACCAGGCCCAACCCTAATGACTGCTAGGGCTTACGTGGCGTAGTGAAGACCAGGATGTGGTCTTCGCCCTAGTCCAACTGCTCCTTGATCTCCGAAAAGTGGGTTTGACCTGCTCTTTCGGAGGTGGGCAGTTGGTTGATGACGTGTCCCCGCGGAGGGGAGCACGTGGAGAACGTGCGCCGGGCACGTTGTCCTCCCCGCAGAGGGGAGCTCGCGAGGTTCCCCGGAGGGCGTTATTCTCCCCGCGGAGGGGAACGCGAGGATGTGGAGGAACCAAAGGTCTCGCTTCGGCGCACCGGGGTGTGTCCTGTTCGGCCGATGAGAGAGGACGTTGAGAAGTCGTCGGACGCGTCGCCTATGGCTGGGGGCGTGCCCTGCCCGTTTTGTGGGACGCGTGTGCCCGGTGTGGCCAATTCACTTATTGGGCCGTGCGTGGTATTGGGCTGGACCGAGGTTGGGCCCAGACCAGAACAAGTTTATTTTAAAATAAATAATTAATAATTATATATTGATATTTTATACTCTCCATTCATCATTATTATTCATTTGTATTACTTAACAAATTATTAAAATAAAAGTCAAATTTTTTTTATATCTAACATTTATAATTAACCGAAAGTTTTTATACCGTCGATACATTTCAATTAAATCTTTAAAATAATTTCTTTTCATAAAAATGACTCAATTGTCATTGGCTCCTTCTATATTTTATTTTGGGGTTGAATTTCAGTTTAGCCGATTATAAATAAATAAATATTTTTTATTCATATAATAATAATAATAATATACAAGAATAACTATGTTTTTAAAATTCTATACACAAATTTATTAATAATTTTAAAATAATTAATACTTTATAGTTTATTTAATTTTCACACAAAAATTTAGACAAATTTTAAAAATAAAAATAATTTAGTTATAGACTAGATAGAATCAAGGCTTTCATTTTAATATAAAAATAAAAATTAATAATAAATTAATAATTTACTATGCAATGCCGTTTTCAAGGGCATGCTAATGAACAAGATCTTAAAACTTTTACTATTAAAACAACCTATTATGCATGGTTGTTTTTGAGGGCATGCTACCTTAAAATTTTTACTCTTAAATTGTATCTAATTTGAGTCTCATAAATATTTGCCATTATTAAAATTTAATTAAATATAACCTCTAATTATTTTGTCAAGAACCATGATTAAAGACTAATTAACCTACACAACGATTCAAAAAACATGACACATTATATGTATTCTCTATTATTATATAAAATTCATTTTTATTCCATAAATGAAGAGAGAATTATAAAGGAATTGGAAACATTTTTTTAGTTTAGTTGTTCTATTTGGTTTCTCTACTCTCAGTGTCTATAAGAGTGATTAGAGAATGAAGGATAAAATTAAATAAAACATTTCGATTCAAAACAAAATTATTTATCATGTTTTTTATAAATCAACAACAAAATTTGGTCAGATTTTAAAATTCTCAATTTTTTAATTTAAATTTTGGTTCTTCTACATTTCGATTTCAAGTCCAAATAAATTAATTAAGATTTTAATTTTCAATTCAATCGATTGAACTGACCGATCCAATTCAATTTTAATTACCATGCTTATTTTAATAAGAGGCAACTAATCACCCTATAAAATTATAAAATAAATTAAAATAATAGCAATAAAAATTAATTATCAATGAATAATAAATTCACGCAATATATTATACTAATAAAAAAATTATATGATGCAGTTTAATTTATAAAAATATTCTGAATTTCAATCCGATCCAAGTAACTTTTACAAAATTACAATCAAACAGAACAAATAATATTTGATTTTTAGAGTCTATTTAGTAAGACTTAAAAAAGAGTTTTTACCTTATAAATTTTAACTTTTCAACTCACATTAATGAAAAAGCTATGTTTAATAAATATCTTTTAACTTGTTAAGTGTTACTTATTTGAAGTAGCTTTTAAGTTTATAGTTTTTAATTTATGACTTTTTCTTCCATTTGTAATCTCACTATTTTATCAAAAACCTCTTATTTACCTTCACTATTTTATCAAAAACCCAATATTACTCTTTATATTATTATGATTTAAATTAAAATAATTGTGTTTTAGTTGAAGAAATGAAAAAAGTTAGTCATTATTTTTACCGAACAAATTCACGATGTGATTCATCTTTCGTTTTATAATTAATGGAATATTTCGATTCATTAGGTTGAATTTTTTTTATTACTTTTAAATTATTATTTTAATTATTTATTACTTGTGCTTTTATTATTAATGTATTATTTTTATAAATATGATAATAAATGATTAAATATATTTGTTTATTAGTAGGCATATCATGGATTTTGAAAAAGAAAATAAAGAGAAGGAAGTACGCACTTTATTGAAATATAAGATCAATTTATAATATTATTATTTTAAATATTTAAATTTCATTATAAAATTTATATATAAGTGTTTAATATATTTTTGTGTTATGTTTAATTTTATATTTATATTTATATTTAAAATGTTTTGCATTTGATTGTTAATACGTTTATTTTTATTGAATAAAAATTAATTTAATAAATATGACCATTAATTTTTTAATTAAGAATATTTTTTTATGTCATTTTGTATTAGTCAACTATTTAACAACTAATTTACCAAACACTCAAATTAACTTATCAACTATAAATAATAAAATATAAATTATCACTTATCAACTATAAGCTATCAATTATCAGCTATTAATTATCAACTATCAGCTAACAACTAACTTATCAACTAATTTTACCAAAAAGAGTCTAAATGTTAGAGAGATAAAATATTTTCTTTTACTTTTTATAGATAGAAGAAAAGTAATCTATTTTTTTAAAATAATAATTGTGTTTTTAATCTAATATTTTTGACTATTTATTAATTTGTTTAACTTTATTTTATAATTAATAAATATAAATAATTTTGACAAAAGGATAATTAATATTACTTTAAACTTTAAAATTAAAAATTATAAAAAATTCCAAAAAAAAGCATATTTTAAAAGAAACATTCTTTCAAATTTTTATCATAAAAAAATTATTTTTTAATCTGTTAGATAATTAACGTTATATAAATAGATCTAATTTTTTTTAATGATAAATATTTGAAGGAATGTATATTTATTCTCTATGTTTCTTTTAAAGTATATATATATATATATATATATATATATATATATATATATATATATATATATATATATATATATATATATATATATATATATATATATATATATATATATATATATATATATATATATATATATATATATATATATATATATATATATATATATATATATATATATATATATATATATATATATATATATATATATATATATA